GTATGATTTTGAGTTCCGATGCGCTAACAATTTTATCTTGTGGAAGTTATATCATTTTGAGTTCGGATGTGTTAACGATTAGGGAATATTGAGCATTGTCGGTTATTTACCTCCACTCGATTCCGGTGAGTGGCACCTTTTCTTTTTTAATTGCCAAGTTAATTGTGTTCAATTTTTGTCCTAGGGAAATGCATTACTGCTATATGTTGGCGTCCTGATGGTAAAGCAATTGCTGTGGGCCTTGAGGATGGAACCATTTCATTGCTCCATGTGGAAGTAAGTTACTCTAATGCAATTTATTTATTTTGGTTGAAAAGTTTTTTTTCTTCATTATGGATGATAGATCATAGATATGCTATTTGAGTGCCACGAGTGAATTAATAACTCATGAAACTAGTCTCAATACCTTTTGTGTATTTTATGGGAGTAGAATGGAAAGCTGCTGAGGAGTATGAAGTTCCACAGTTCATCTGTTGTCTGCCTCAACTGGGTGGAAAGTCGGGAAAAGATAGTGGTATGGCTTTGTAACTTCTTTATACTTCATATTATTCGAAATGAATAAATTACTTTCCAGTGCATGATCATCATTTCGTTTAAAGTGGGGTTTTGTATTAAGGCGCTGCTGGTGTAAATTGAAATTTACCACTTTTGGATAGAAAATTATCGATTTGGAAGGGATTAAGTTAAAGTACTATATCCTTCAAACTTTAGTCACTCACCTTTGGGGTTTTGAATGTAATTGGAGTTACTTTGCAATATAATTCTACACAAAGTGGAGGCATATTTGCATGTGCTAGTAACTATATAAAACATGGAATCACGAATTGCATTTTATTTTACTCAAAAATCTTGAATCACGTGATATGGTTTTAGGGTGGAAATCGTAACAATTCATCATATGAAGACCGAACTGCTCGTTTTTTCCCTTCTGCTCCAAGAGTTCCTCGCACACCTGGAATTATACCAGGAGATAACAGTGGGTTGATGGAGATAACTGACGACTCATTCCAAGAACTGCTTGATCCCTCACATCAACAGTTGGACATCTTATGTAGTGGGGATAAAGAAGGCAGAATTTGTTTCAATATATTTGGTATATTTCACATTGGGAAAGTTGTAAGTTAATCCTTGAGTTCAATTGTTTTTACCTGTTTGTTCAAACCTTCAGCATTCAATGACAATACTCTTTGTCATTCTGAATTCCAGAACATACATAATCTTGCTTCACGAAGTTCTCTTGAGGAGAAACATGTTTCATGCCAACTCACTGATGCTTCCATTTGTAAGGTATGTTCTTTGTTAATGTTTATAAGATTTACTTTTATTTTTCTGTTTTGATGTTGGTTGATCAAATTGTCAGTTGTCATCATTGCATCCTGTTATTATTCGACAATAAGAAAACAAAAAAGCATGATTCTTGCAGGTATACAATTTTGAAGCTGTATGTTCAATGTTGTGATAAAGGTCTAGATTATTTTCCGATCCTTAGATTGTAAAGTCTGATGCTTAATGATCTATCCCGGCACCTATATTGATTTTATGACTGGATTAACTATTTTTGAGGATCATAATGTAGTCCGTTTGCTTTCATCAGGTTACATTGTCAAGTGATCTACGTCATATCATTGTCTTGTGCTCTGGTGTAGTTACTGAAGATGGGTCAGAAGGAAGTGAAAATCAAATATCTGGAGGAGATATAAGTGTTCTCCATTCCTTAGTCCTCGACAGTACAGTTTTTCAGAGCAGGTAAAATAATATAAGAAAGCCCGTAAGTGAATATGCATATCTTTATCGAACAGAGATAACCAAGGATAGTCAAGTACGTGCACAAATTTATTTTTACTTACTGGAAACTGAATTCAAGATGCATCATATTAATAACTGGATAAATGTTGCTTTATAATTCCTTAATACATTTTTTTAAGAGACTTCTCTTGATACAGAGGGTTGATGCCCTTTTTGTTTCTTATGAATGTTAGGAAAAATGAGCTTCACCAGGTGGCTCAACAAGCTTCCAATGTGGAGCATATGATGGAAGTAATCCAAAGATCACTAGATATTATGTCCAAGCAGTGGTCAGATGCCATGCATTTGTACCATGAAAAATTCAATGCTCTATCTACCCTGATCACTGATCACGGTAACTGTTACTTAGAAAGAAATAAAATAAGAAAGAAATTAAATAACAAAATAAATCACCCCGCCCTTTCTCTGTGCCTCTTATTTAAAAAACTTTATTTCGAAATATGTTCAGGACTTGACTCGAGTCCTCAAGAAGAGTTCCTAAGCTTGTTAGGTGGAGCAAGGACAAGTCCACCAGTTCATCAATTTTTGGTTAATTCTCTTGGTGAAGCGGTTAGAAATTCAACCTTTCGAATTTTTCAACAGTGAATGAGATGATAATATAGTTTACTGGGTCCTCTTGGTGCTTAGGGAATCAAACGGACAGCAAAGGTTGTTTGTGCGGCAGGAAAAGAGCTTCAGACGATTGTTCTTAACAATTTACAGGTGAGTTAGGGCTAACAATTGGCATATGATGGGGAGATACTGATTTTTTTTTTATTTTTTTTTTTTACCAAACTTCTCTTGATGCTTCATTGTAACTAAATTATATAGCCTTTAGTGCAAGATTTTGCTATTGTTTAAAAAAAATGAATGCCCAAATTACATGGGTGCAGATGTGGGCGTTATATTGATACAGTAGATAAAACTTTTTGTCCATTTGGTTTGTTTGCAGTGTACTTATTATTCTTTATTTTTATTTTTTTTATCTCTCGTGATATTAACTTCTTTTTGCTTGTGACTCTTTCGTGAACCTTAACTTGGAGTGTTATTTTGATTTGTGCTTGTGGTGCTTTTAGGTGAATTTTCTGTTGAATTTCTGAAACTCTGATTGTCAGCCTGCTGCAGAAATTATTGCATTCAGAATGGGAGAGTTAAGAGGGCTTTCGAAATGGCGTTCATGTTTTCGTGGAATTGGATTGGATGAGAACTTGATTGATCATGCAACTGAGAAATCTGGGATGTTGCTTGTACAAATCGAAAGATTTATCAGGATTTTGTCCTCCGTGGTGCAGCAGGTATGTAAAGTCCCTTGGTATTATAAGACAGTAAATTCCTGGTGCCCCTCTGTTACATGATTATTTGAATTGGGTTAAAAGCGCAAACCAGGTATCACTTGAGATTTGCTGTTGTACTTGCTATAAACAGAGGACTTAAAACTATTATTTTCGATTGCTTGACTTATAATACTGGCCATGAGCAATAATTCAACCAATTAAACCAGAATTTTTTACGGTGTTCGATATTTCAACCAACTAAAATGGAAACAAAATTATGCCTTGTGATAAAAGAGAAAAATATGCTTTAAGATTATCCAGTTCTTTCTTATGTGAAGAGTTTAGTAAAGGCTTTGATACCCTACTCTGTGTGTGTGTGTGTGTGTGCGTGTGTTTTCCATTTTTACTTCTGAAAAAGAGTCAGTACATGCAGAAATTTGAAGTGTTGCAACTTTGTGCTTGGCACATCATTACCATGTCTCACCGTGCTCTTCATGTTCTGTTTTCAGTTTTCGAACTTTTTCAATTGGCTACTAAAATGTGTGAAGGTCCTCATGTCTGAACCAAGCGATCAACTTCTTCCCTTCAGTAGGTTTGACATTCTTTGCTACCTTTGCAATTTTTTGTGAACTTTTTCTCCAGCTAAGCCGATTGTTTCCATCCTTCCAGTGAACTTGTTATCATATTTTTGAAGTTCCTGTACGACCAAGATCCAGTTGGTGCCTTGCTGCAAGATTCTGAATCCGATCAGAGCATTGGAGTTGACTTGTAAGTCTTGAGATTTTACCACTTACGATTGACATGAGTTCTGACACTGTTGGTCGCATTTATAATTAGTTTATCATTAACATCTACAATTGCCAATCTTAACTTTGAGTATGATAAGTTTCATAAATTCTTTGGATGTTCGTCTTAAAACTAGTGAGAATATTTTCTTTTTTTGTATCACAAGGGAAACAGATCAGAGAATCAGGGAATTAACTCTTTTCGGAGGGTTCACAGATTGCGAGTATTTGAAAAGGACATTAGCTGTGGAATTTCAACAACTGCAGTCATGGTATGCATATAAATTTACTTTGGTTATTATTATTACGTGTCTCGAATCTTTTCTTTCACAGGTATAATATATTAATATATGAATTTAAAAAAGTGGATGAAGTAGATATATTTTGTCAATGTACTAAATGAGTCGTGTAAACTTATTCTTACTTACTGTCGCCTGGTTCTCTCTGCTTATCAAGTAATTTCTTTTGTTGATTGCCATTGTCGATTTCTGGATCTATGACTCGGAATTGTAGTTTCAAGGAGGCCTTGGAGATGCCACTCACCACAGTTTCTAAAAGGATACTTTGTAAAGGCATTTTGCCGCTTTTCCCTCCACCTTCACCAAATTTGAAGTCCTCTTATTTTCCAGTTTCAGTGTCATTCTATCAGGTATACTCTCTGTCGAAAATATAAATAAAATTAGCCAATGGTCTATATTGCGTTTTTTTCTTTTCAATCTAAGTTATGTTTCTACCATTTTTACGTAAAAATCATGAATGTAATTAGATTTCAAACTATTGAGAATTAGAATTACTTAAAACAGTGCTCCTAATATGCATGCATTTCTCAATATTGACTTATTTTGGATAGAGACCTCATTTAATTTTTCATTTGCACGGCTCACCACAGGAAACTTCTCACTCGGAAATTCCCAATCAGGGACTCACCGACTATACTTGTTTTATGGTGCCTGATGAGACTTTCCCAGACATCTCAAATTGCATTGGCATTGTAAGGGGGCTCATTAGTGATTTGGATAACTTCAAAAGTGGCAACAGTTCTCTAGAGATTGCAGTATTACGTGTTCCTGACGATTATAACTGCGTGGATCTGTCTCTGTATAAAGTATGAGAACATTAGCCCTTCTCTTCTCTTTTCTTTTTTATTTTATTTTTATTTCTATTTTACACTGTGGATACTGAACCCTCTCATTTCAATGTCTAAAACAGGAAGAACAGATTGTGTTGCTATTAAACCAAGAGACAACAGATCCTGAGAGCTCAGGAAATGCTTGTATGATGATTATACAAGCATCCAACCTCAAATTTCGACCTATTTCAAGATCATCTGTTATCGACTCTTGGAATCCTCATGAACTTCTGGTACACGTTTTCATTTCACTTTTTTTTTTTAGGGATTTCTTGATATTATACAAACAGCACATAAAGATGCATCTATAGATGCGTATGTATAGATTATGAAATTTGCCTGGTGATCTGTACTGTTTTAGGATTCTGTTATGCACCTGCAAATGGAGAATGAAAAAGTTCGGGAAATTTCTCACTCGGTGGTTGCTCCATTGGCGGTTAGCGGTAAGTGTTTTCACGATAGCTTTCCTTCCCCGAGTATCTTGGGTTCTGTTCATAAATATATTAATAGTTCGAGTTTTTAGTTGAAGGACGTTCAGTTGACATTTTAGCCTCGATTCGTATTTTCAGCATCAAGAGGCGTGGCTTGTATTTTTGCTGCAAAAAAGCGTGCTTTGGTGTATATCCTAGAGGAAGATGAAGATGAAGATGAAGGTACAGATTCAGAATAAATGATTTGCAATCCCTTCAACTCCAGCTAGTGCTTAGCTTGTATTGTTTGAGCTACATTTTTTTTTTTTTTTCCCTTTTTAATGGGAAAACCATATCCTTTGGTTTGAGCTGCATTTTCCAGTTATAAGGTGTACTAGTACGATGCTTGTTAAAAAATTATTCTTAAATTTTATAATTAATGAGAAAAAATATTTTAAATTTTATTTACTTTTATTTTTCAATATATATATATATATATATATGTATATTATATACTTACATGTGTAATATTATAGTAATGTTCATAACTTATATCATATAACTACTTGAAATATAAATATATTAATTGATGAATAATTTATTTTTTCTAATTAGTATTAAAAAATAATTTTATTATTGTTATAAAGATAAAATATAGTTATTTTTTTTTATAGTTAAATTGAAGTTCATCAAATGATTAATTTGATATATTATATATGTAAAACTGATAAAAAATACAAAAGTTATAAACTTTAAAGTCTATTTAATAAGAAATGATATTAAAATGCAATTAATACATGTAACATGACCATAAATAGTCAATATATTTCTAGATAATTTGGACCTAATTATTTTTGTATTAAAAGTAAAATTAAAATATAGTTAAGCTTAATAACGAAACATGTAATTTTGTCACATAAGATTTCGAAGCATGCGAGCTTGGAGGCAGCCACTAATGATGACCAGCTCCGAGCAAAATAAAAGAAAACAAAACAAAATAAAATAAAATAATAACTGGAATAAAAAATAAAAGATAACTTAAACTACTAGATAAGATTTAATTAACATTTTCGTACGTGCTTTGGTAAGCTGCAATTCACTAATAATTGATCTTCTGCAAGTAAGACAATAATGTCAATACAATTAATTTTAAGCAGACTTTAATTTCATCAATTGTCTAATGAACTTACACTTCATTATAATACAACCGCCCTTCTTACATGCACACATATGTATCAATTTTATTTATTGTGAAACCTAACATCTATTAAAATAAAAAAATAAAAAAAAAAATGAAAATTGTTGAAAAAGAAGCCCTCATAATTTTATTAAATAAAACATATTTCATAATTACGGTTTAATATAATTTCTTTTTTTAATTAAAAAGTAGAGTATATAAAACGTATTTCGAAAATACG